CCCTAGCCACCTGAGCCATAGGCGCCGAGCCAAGATTAAACTGTTTAATAGCACTTAGAACTTGCCACACAGTGGGGCGGTGCCTGTGGCTGAGTGCTAGGGCGCCAGCCCAATATACCAAAGGTGGCAGGTTCAAACCCAGCCCCCAGCCAAATTACAACAACAAGAAAAAGCCGGGTGTTGTGACGGGCACCTGTAGTCCCAGCTACTCGGGAGGCTGAGGCAAGAGAATTGCCTAAGCCCAGGAGGTGGAGGTAGGTTGCTGTGAGCTGTGACACCACTGCACTCTACCAAGGGTGATAAAATGAGATTGTCTATAAAAAAAAGGGAGGGCTGCCTATGGCTCAAGAGAGTAGGGTGCTGGCCCCATATGCTGGAGGTGGTGGGTTTAGCCCTGGCCAAAAATTGCAAAAAAAAAAAAAAAAAAGAACTTGCCACATGGTTAGTGGTTAGTGTGAATGAATAGTTGGGATGATTATATTAGACAAACTTATGTGATAAGGATGCTGACAGGATGGGGAAACAAGGCTGAGGAAGAGACACCCAAGGACTCTTTGGAGTTTCAAGGCCCAGACAGCTTCTCCTCAGGAAACAGAAAAGGTGGGTAGATTAGTCACAGAGACCTAGCAGTAACATTTGAAGGCAAACCAGGAGGCTTTGCTGGGTCAGGAGATTGCCTTGCAGATCCCCCATCACTGACTGACAAGTCTGGAAGAGGGTGGAGAATTCTGAGTTTAACATCTTGTTCACTTAGAACGGATGATTCTGGCATCTACAGCGTGCCATGCTAAGTGCAGAAAGGAAGGCAGGTTTATGGGAAACAAGTTGATTTAAAGATTAGATTAAGATGGTTACTTCTGGGCAGCACCTATGGCTCAAAGGAGCAGGGCACTGGCCCCATATGCCGGAGGTGGCAGGTTCAAACCCAGCCCCGGCCAAAAAGCTGCAAAAAAAAAGAAAAAAAAAAAAAAACAAGATGGCTACTTCTGACTGTGATAAATATTATATAGAAATTAAAAGAAAAGTAACAAGACAGAGAGGGACAAGATACAGAACATGGGAGAATCGAGGGAATTGAGTAGAATCTCCCAAAGACAAAAAGGATCCAGCTGTGGAAAGGGTAGAACGAGCCAGGAGTGGTGGCACACACCTATTGTCACAGCCACTTAGGACACTAAGGTGGGAGGATCATTTGAGCCTAGGAGTCCAAGGCTAGCCCCCGGCAACATAGCCAGACCCCATCTCTTTAAAAAAACAAAAAAGTGAGGGCAGCACCTGTAGCTCAGAGGGTTAGGGCGCTGGCCCCATAGGCGCTGGTGGTGGGTTCAAACCCAACCCTGGCCAAACTGCAACAAAAAAATAGCTGGGCGTTGTAGCGGGCGCCTGTAGTCCCAGCTACTTGGGAGACTGAGGCAAGATAATCACCTAAGCCCAAGGAGTTGGAGGTTTCTGTGAGCCGTGATGCCATGGTATTCTACCAAGGGTTAATGAGTATCTCAAAAAAAAGTGGAAAAAAGAACATTCCAGGCCACGGATACAGCAAGTGCAAAGGTCCTGTGGTAGAGATGAGATTCATGTGTTGGCATTGCATCAAGGAGTGAATGAGGAGCAGGAGAGATCTCAAGGACTGAGTGAAAGAGTTTAGATTTTATTCTGGGTGTGAAAACCCTTTGGAAGATTTTAGGACAGGAGGGACGTTATCCCCAACCATAGATCAGTGATCAGTGAGGATTTGGAAGTGGGTCCAAGGGCAGTGGTCAGCAGGAAACGACAGGTTGTATATCTTTCGATCCTAATTCCCTGTCTCTTTCCCCTAGCACAATGGCATTTCCTCTCTCAGCTCCACTGAAGTCAGGTTCATGCTCATTAACAGTTCCACATATGCAACCAGCTCCTCAGCCTACTGGGATGTCCCTTTGTAAATCTAGGCAGCTGAGTAAATGACAGGGTGGGTGTGCAGACCCCAGAGGGGAAGATGAGGCATGTGAAGAAACAAGTCGTCTTTTTCTTTTTTTTTTTTGAGACGGAGCCTCAAGCTATTACCCTGGGTAGAGTGCCATGGCATCATGCTCACAGCAACCTCCAACTCCTGGGCTCAATCTCCTGGGCTCAAGCGAGTCTCCTGCCTCGGCCTCCCAAGTAGCTGGGACTACAGGTGCCCGCCACAATGCCCGGCTATTTTTTGGTTGCAGCCGTCATTGTTGTTTAGTGGGTCTGGGCTGGGGATTCGAACCCGCCACCTCAGGTGTACGTGGCTGGTGCCTTTGCCGGTTGAGCCACAGGCGCCGAGCCAGAAACAAGTCTTCTGATGGAGCCTCTCACTTTCTACTCCAGGGGCTTGCGAAGCCTCCCTAGCATGTTCCACCTGCCATGTGTATGTGAGCAAGGACCACCTGGACCTTCTGCCGCCTCCTGAGGAGAGGTGAGTCCCTCCCAGCTGCAGCTTTGGCCACCAAGCTTCTGGGTTCCAGGAGGGGAGGGTGCAGGGGAGCAGGGGAGGGTGCCCCCTCTTCTCCCCACCCCAGGCCATCCATCTCCCTGCCAGCTGAGCCAGCCCACTGGCTGTTAACCACTGCCCTGTTACCCCAGGGAAGATGACATGCTGGACATGGCCCCCCTCCTGCAGGAGAACTCCCGGCTGGGCTGCCAGATCATGCTGACACCAGAGCTGGAAGGGGCAGAATTCACCTTGCCCAAGATCACCAGGAACTTCTACGTGGATGGCCATGTCCCCAAGCCCCACTGACAAGGGCAGCTGTATGGTCCAGTGCTGCCACGGTACTGGGGGCTGAACTGAAGGATTAGCCAAGCTGTCAGGCCCAGCCCAGAGCATTGGAAGGCTGGAGAGAGATGCAGGAAGCCTTCGAAAAGGCCGAAGCCCCTGCTTGGGAGAGATCTCGTCGTCAGGCCAAGCTCCGGTGGGGCTAGAGCCCCTGCTGTGGCAGCTCCCCCAAACCCCTAAGAAATGGGGCACTAGAAGGGGCAGACTTAAATTGGAGCTGCAATAAAACTGTCTTAGACTTCCAGTATGTTGAGTGTCCTTGGGGGGCAGATGCAACTGCATACGCTGACCTGCCCCTTCTTCCCTGTGATAAGTAATGGGGCCTCCTGCAGAGGCCACAGATCCCGGATTTTGAGAGTAAAGGCCCTGTGGGAGGCCCCGCCCCTGCAGCTGCGGAGGGATTTGGAGAGATGGAGGCCCCAGCGACCTATACAGGTGACCTGAAGAAAGGAAGCACTGAAGCTGATCATTAGTTGATTCGTGCTGCCTACCCCACTCAGGTGGAGCTTATTGTGCCCTCAGTCAGGTGGGAGCTCATTAGGTGGGCCTGGTAGGGGCAGAGCAGGGTGGAATTAGGGAGGGGCTTGGGCTTGGGTGTGATGGAGCTGCTGGCGCCACCCTGTCTGGACCCGGAGACACGGGCAAGATCCCCCGCCCAGCGGAAGCCGAGGACCCCAGGATGCTGTATATTCCGTGGGAGGTGCGTAAGGCCAGGTCCCTTCCCCTACCAGCACGCACACCTCCTCAAGACACTGCACGTGGCCTAGTGGTCCAGGGGTCATGACCTCTGGTTCCTGGGGTTATCCAGGGTCCACAGTGTTAGTTACTGGTACTTAACAAAGAAGAGGTTCTGGTCTCTCAGGCCCTTGGGGTCATCTAGGGTTCAGAGGCTATGCAATTGCATGCCTCTGAGGCCGATGTAAACACCGCCCAGGGGTCATCCAGGGGTTATGGAGGGTAAGCCAATAATAATGATAAAAATCATCATCATCATCATCAAGGGTCCTAGGTGGTCTTTGCCTGGGTGAGTTACTGGGTAGATGAAATGGTTAACTAATAAAGGGTTGAGTAGGCACGTTGTGTTTGCAATCACTTTGCAATTTTTAAACTTCAACCCAGTGTTAGGAGTGATTCTGAGCCCCAGATAGCCATATAACATCCCTGAGAGCACAGTTAGTGAAGAGAAGACACAGGTTGGAACCCCCAAGCCCAGGAGTTCTACCCAAGGATTTGGGTGACCCCACTACCCCTTGCACCCAGGTCCCTTTGGCCTGCATGCCATGACTCAGTCACTTCCCTGTGCTTCCCCCAAGGGACAGCAGAGGAACTGGCCCAGCTCCCTCACCAGGACACCCAGGCCCTAGGCCCCTGCTGGGAGCCAATATTTCTGGGGACTTTGGGCCCCAGGTCTCTGGACAGGGATTCCAAGAATATGCAGACCCAGACCAGCCAGAAGCACCACAGCCTGAAGACCCCAGGGACTCCCCTGGCCCCACCTCGGAGAAGACCTCGGAAGCAGCCAAACCCCTGCCAGGGCTCTGAGAAAGTGGACTCCGGGTTTGAGGGGGTGACTCTGAAGTTTCAGATAAAGCCAGATTCCAGCCTGCAGATCACCCCCACGTACAGGTAGGGGCTAGGTCAAGGCCAGGTTGCCCTTTATACAAGTAACAAGGAGAATGAACACAGGTGGTGGGCAGAATGTCTGGGGACAGGTGCTCCCAGGCATTAGCTCATGGGCTCCCACGCTAGCCCTACATTACAGATGGCCTGGTCTCTGATGGATTGAGACCTCAGGCTGGTGCTAGATCTCCAGTCCTGCCACCACTGAGGTGTCACCTTCCAGTGTGAGAACTGGTCTCCTCCTTAGGAGTCTGGCCTGACCCTACCAAGAGCTGCTGTTACATTTTCCCAGTAATGATAAAAGTAATGACAACAATAGCAGTAAGCAGTAACAGGCAGCATTTGATGTGTTCAGGCTCACTGAAGCCTCGGAAAGCCCATTTTATAGAAAACTAAGGCAGAGGGAAATAACTTGCCCAGGGTCACACAGCAAGAACGTGGGAGAACTGGGATTTTTGGTTTGGGTTTTTTGGGTTTTTTGAGGAAGAATCTCGCTATGGTGCTCAGGCTGGGCTCAAACTCCAGCAATCCTTCTCTTAGCCTCCCAAAGTGTCAATAACAGGCCAAGAATTGAGATTTGAACCTGACAGGCTGGTCCCAGGCTTACTACCTGTCAAAATAATATCAATTATTATTGTAATGAATGAGGGACAAAATCAGGCCTTTCAGACATCAGATTTTTTTTTTTTTTTTTTTTTTTTTTGAGACAGAGCCTTAAGCTGTCCCCCTGGGCAGAGAGCCGTGGCATTACAGCTCACAGCAACCTCCAACTCCTGGGCTCAAGTGAGTCTCCTGCCTCCGCCTCCCAAGTAGCTGGGACCACAGGCACCCGCCACAACGCCCGGCTATTTTTTGGTTGCAGCCATCGTTGTTTGGCGGGTCCGGGCTGAGGATTCAAACCTGCCACCTTAGGTGTACGTGGCTGGGGCCTTAGCCGGTTGAGCTATAGGCGCCGAGCCCAGACATCAGATTTTTTCTCTGGAGGTGCCTGATTTCTTGGTAGTAGATCTTCATTTGGGGGGGGGGGGCATCAAGGACAAAGTACAGATCCCCTAATGCTAATTATTTGTCTAATGCCCCCAGCTTGGCCTGTAGCATCCGTTCTCACAGACCCCCTGCATGCCCTACTGAGGTCCCAGAGGCCCACCCCGAAGGCAGTGAGGCCCTGGGTGAGTCCTGAAGACTTAAATATTCAGCTATAAATATTTAGGGGGGCTGATTTTCTGTCTTGCTTACCTTTTTCCCTGCCTCCTTTCCCCATCTCACTTCCCCATTTAGACCTGTCCACACAAGGAATCGCAGTGCCCCCCTTCACTTGGGCTGAGTCACCCCCACCCCCAGCTTCCTTCTCTGCTGAGCTTTGCCATCTGTTTCCTTTCCTAGCTTCTACTCTGTCTTAGATCTGGCAAGAGCCAGGGCTGGCCCAGAGCCAGGTAGGGCCTTCATACAGACCCCCTGTAAAATACCTCCCAAAATGCCAGGCCTCCTGGACTCACATTTTACCTCTGATCCCTGCTCTTTGATACCTGACCTTTCAGGGCCTCGGCGCTGTGCATCCTGCAGGACCCACAGGACTCCCCTTTGGAGAGATGCTGAAGATGGGACGCCTCTCTGCAATGCCTGTGGTATCAGGTCCTCAGAATGGACAAGGGAATTGGGGTGGGGGTCTCCAAGTCAGTCTATGCTTAGCTGGCATGAGGTATATTGGGAAAGCAAAACACTCACCTCTTGGGGAAAGTGGTTTCCTTGGAACAGTTTCTGGGCCTCTGCTGCATCCTGAAGAGTGGTTTCTTGTACCCCCTCACTTCAGGTACAAGAAATACGGCATTCGCTGCTCCAACTGCTGGCTGGTGCCCAGGAAAAGTGTTCAGCCCAGGAAGTTATGTGGCAGATGTGGTGTGACCCTGGGCCCTCACCAAAGCCCAGTTCATGAAGGTTAAGTCCTTCACCCAGCTGAGCCAGTTCTGCCTCAGTTTCACCAGAGGGAGAACAGATAGAAGGTCTTCTAGGAGGAGTGACAGCCTGCCCCATGTATGCCATGGCCACATTCAAGGATCCTGGGGGGAAGACCCAGGCTGCAGGCCTCAGAGCCTGTCTCAGCAGGTCACCCATACCCTACTTGATTCCTCCTCTAGTCAGGTTGGGCTGAGCATCCTCAGGAAACACCCTCAGTAGTGATAAACATGTTGTGAATAGCAAGAACAATAAAACAGTTACTCAGAGAGAAAGAGTGGTGTGATTTGGGGATCCCACCTCCTGTGCCACTCTCCCAGCTTGGGAACTGGGGCAGGTGATTTTTCCTTCCATCCTGAGCCAAAAGCTTCAGAGAGGTGGGCCATCGGCAGGTGGGACACACAGTCCTTCAGTGCAAACTTCAAGGGAGGGAGGAGGGAGGGTCAGAATGGCTGGGATGAAACAAGAACAGGAAAGGTTCCTGCTATGGGCATCAGTGAGCCACAAAGCCATTGAGACCTGCTTGGTCACATACCCCCATCAGACCCTCTTTATCTCTCCCAGATGGCCCTGGAGTCTAGCCATCAGATCCTTGAATCATTTGGTCTCACCCTTCCTCCTCTGGAACACCCTCCCTCCACATTTCCCCATGGCTGCCACCTTCTTGTCACTTGGGCATCACCTCTTCAGAAAAGCCTTTCTTAATGACCCAGCCTAAAACAGACACCCTCTTTCACCCTGCGTCAGCTCCTTGCTAGTCTTCTCCCTCTTAGCGATTCTCTTGCCTCAGACTCCCAAGTAGCTGGGACTAGGCACCTCCCACAACACCCAGCTATTTATTGTTGTTGTCGTCGTTTAGCAGGCCCTGTGCTCAAACCCACCAGCCCTGGTGCATGTGGCTGGCACTCTAACCACTGACCTATGGGCACTGAGCCTCCCTCTTAGAGCCATTTTATTTTTTTTCTCTTTCTTTTTTTTTTTAGAAATAGGATCTTATTCAGCCTGGTCTCAACCTCCTGATCTCAAGCAGTCCTCCCACCTCAGCTTTCTGAGTAGCTGGAACTACAGGTGCATATACCACCATGCCTGCCTCAGAACATACCAGAATTTTTCAATTCTTGGTCCGGCCCATCTCCCCCAGTGGAGCATAACTTCTCAGGTTTGAGTTGCCACATCTGTGTTTTTGATTATGATAGGTCTCTCGAGTGCCCAACTTGGAAAAATTGTTGGGCATACACCATGAAGATTTCAAATGATGTATTAACAAAATCAAGGCTACTTTTACTTATTTATTCAACATGTTTTGAGCCACTATGAGTGCCAGGCTCCTATGGGGACACTTAGCAGTGAATAGAACAGAGATCTCTTCCAGTGTCGCTGATGTTCTAGGAAAACAGTAAAATACATTTTTTTTTTTTTTTTTTTTTTGAGACAGAGCCTCAAGCTATCGCCCTGGGTGGAGGGCCGTGGCATCACAGTTCATAGCAACCTCCGACTTCTGGGCTCAAGTGATTCCCCTGTCTCCACCTCCCAAGTAACTGGGACTACAGGCGCCTGCCACAACGCCCAGCTATTTTTTGTTGCAGCCATCATTGTTATTTGGCAGGCCCAGGCTGGATTCGAACCCTCCAGCTCAGGTGTATGTGGCTGGCGCCTTAGCCACTTGAGCCACAGGCGCTGAGCTGACAGTAAAATATTGAGTAAGTTATGATCTCCATCCTGAGCAAGAGTGAGATATTATTTCTACAAAAAAATAGAAAAATTAGCTGGGTATGGTGGCAGATGCCTATACTTTCAGCTTTTCAGGAGGCTGAGACAGGAGGATAACTTAAGCCCAGGAGTTTGATGCTGCAATGAGTGAGCTATGCTGATACCACTGCACTCCAGCCTGGACCAAGACCCTGTCTCTCCCTGTCTTCTCCTCAATGAAAAGGTTGGGTGGCTTGGGAGACTACCTTAAGCCCCTTAACTATGGGGGTCAGGGAAGGCCTTCCCAAGGGGATGACATTGCATGGAAGGAGACCCAAGGATTAGGAACTGGCTCTGGAACTCTTGGAGGTGAAAACATGCCAGAGAGAAGGAAGAATGAAAGCAAAGACCCTGTAGCGAGCAGGTTTTTTGTGGGCTTCCAGAAACCTCCAGGCTGCCAGTGGGAGTGGAGAAAGATGATTAAGGTGGTGACTGGGGCTGCTTTTTGCTGTGCCTTTTGTACCTGGTACCTGGCACTGGCTTACTCTCTTGTGCTATTTCCTCATTGTCTCATGTTTGCTCATTAAGTGTCTGCATGGGGCAGCCAGTGGCACTCAGCAGTCCAGGCCAGCTTCCTTCTCCCAGGCTCTATGTTCTTGGCTTTGAGAGAGGAGGCTGCAGGGATGGGGATGAGGCCCAGCTGTTCTGCCTTATGCTATGGGGGATGGGCGGGATGGTGATATGCAGTGAAGGCTGCAGCTGATATCCTGTGTTTTCTGTTATGAATAATGATGGGCCCAGTGGAAAGGCATGTGGGGGTAAACTGAGGCATTGTGGATGGGCACAGAATGGAGGCAGCATTCAGGGTTGGAGTAGGGTACACCCTCTAGCAGGAGAGACATTCTGAGGGCTGACACTCATAACTGCAGTCACTGCCTTCCTGGCAAGATCTCAGCACAGGGGTGTGGTGGAAGGGGGCCACCCATCCTGGCAAGGTGGCTTTGTCTTTGCCTATAACCAGGCATGGGGGACGCACCTAGCTCTCACCTCCAAGAATTAGAAGGATCAGAAGGTAGTGCTGAGTGGAAGAGATAAGCCACTGGGAGGAGAAGGAAAGCATATGGTCCCCATCCTTGCCCAAGGCCCAGAGAGAGAAACAGGGCACTGAAATAGGACAAGCTCCATTTCATACCACTAAAAGATGACTTGGATTATACTTAACAGAGTATGCTGTCAAAGTTAACAACACAAAAAAAGGATTTTTGAATGCATAGTGAAGTTGAGATTGTCTCACTTGGCAGAAAAAGAAGCAGACCTCCCAGAGTCCTTTGTAAAAACTTTATTGAGGAGTAGGTAGAAAATGGGGTTGATGCTCCTGGAGTTAAACAAATAAATGAATAAATAAATAAAGCAATAAATAACCCCCCGGTGAGTATCTGGGGAATGTCCCCCAGCCTGTAGGGAGAGGGAACTGGGCTCACGTAGAGGTCAGCTGGATGGCAAAGACCTCACACCCCGCAGGTGACTCGGCTGTGTCCCCCTCCTCAGGTCCGCCTTCTGCACCAGAGGTCCCTCCAGCACCGCCGCCCGCACCATTGAGACACACAGCCTCACCCGAGCTCTCAGCCTCCTGCACATTGTACTCGCCTTTCTTGCAGGCGGTGGACTGCACATAGAACGCCAGGCCAGCCCCTGCAGCCAGCAGTGCCGCGCCCCCTGCAGCTCCACCCACAGCGACCCACAGCCATGGACCTAAGGGGTGGAGATCCTCACAGAGGGTAGCCAAGGGGGGTAGCTCCCTCAATCCCCACCACAGCTGTCCCCTCCCTACAGGCAAGAAGTGACTCCTCATGCCCCAAGGAAATCACAATAGGGCCTTGGAAGAAAAGAGAGACCCATTCAATAAGGCCACTGCCACCTCATATCACATTTCAACCCTATGGGCATATAAGCTCATGACTAGCCAGCCCCTTGGTGACAGGCCATGAGCAATTCCCCCCACCCTCAAAGGGATGAGGATCACAAAGACCCCAGCCTAGAAGCTCTGGGAAGTGGCAGGAGGAGATCTAGACGTCCCCCATCATCTTCTGCCCTTGGCAGCCCTCTAACACTTCTTCAGTCCCCCTCCCCACCCCACCCGTGCCACAGTGGAGACTAAGTTGGGTCAAGACCCCAGTATGCAGAACTCATCCCTAGTTATTAAGTCCCTCCCCACAGCCCAGACAGCTCTGGAGGGTCTCTCCCCTTGAGTTTCAGCTTCCACCCTCAACCTGTCATCAACAGCCACACCCAGTAAATCCCTCGACTTCTACTCCGGCCCACTTTAGTCTCAACTATGGGGTCTGACAGGGAGGCAGAGACAAGATCAGGAGCCCTAAGCCTGTGTCACACCCTCCTACAGATCCCTCACCTGGTCCCTATCTGCCACTTACCGGCCACGTGCACTGTGATGCGACGAGCGTGGCGCCCGTGGGCATTGGTAGCTGCGCACTCATACTCGCCCCCATGGCTGCCCATGGCCCCTGCCACACTCAGTGTGCTGTTGTTGCTCGACAGGCCGATGTTGAGGGCCCCTGGAGGCGCGCGCCAGCTGATCTGTGCTGGAGGCCAAGCCTCTGCACGGCAGGTCAATGTGAAGTTTCCACCTGGCCTCACGCCTCCAGGAGGTGAGGCGGCCAGTTCTGCCACCACCGGCTGGTCTGCAGGGGGACAGGTGGTGAAAGGGGTTTTATTTTATGTATTTATTTATTTATTTTTTGAGACTGAGACTCACTGTGTCACCCTTGTTTAGAGTGCCACGGTGTCACAGCTCACAGCAACCTCAAACTCTTGTGCTTAAGCAATGCTCTTGCCTCAGGCCTCCCAAGCAGCTGGGACTACAGGTGCCCACCAAAACAACCAGCCGTCTTTGTGTTGCAGTCGTCATTGTTGATTAGCAGGCCTGGGCTGGTTTGAACCCGCTAGCCCCGGGTGTTTGTGCCTGGCACCCTAACCACTGAGTTATAGGTGCCAAACCATTTATTTATTTTTTGAGACAAAGTCTTTGTCACCCTCGGTAGAGTGCTGTGGTGTCATAGCTCACAGCAACCTCAAACTCTTGGGCTTAAGCAAGCCTCCTGAGTAGCTGGGACTACAGGCGCCCACCACAGAGGAGGTCTCGCTCTTGCTCAGGCTGCTCTCCAACCTGTGAGCTCAGGGCAACCCACCTGCTGCAGCTTCCCAGAGTGTTAAGATTACAGGTGTGAGCCACCACTCCTGGCTGTGAAAGGGGGTTTTAGTGCTGGACCAGCGATGATCAGGGGCCCTTGTCCAGCCCACTGCAGAGGTCTGAGACTACCTGTCCTCTAATGGTCAGATGAGGATTCTGCCTCCTATCAGCGCCCCCTGCTCCCACTACTGGATGTTGTAACAAGTAAAATTCTGTCCCCTTCTTCACTGAATGGAAGGAGCTGGAGCCCCAGGCCAGTGTTCTGATCCAGGATTTGGGGCCTGGGGCTTGTTCATTACCCACAGGCTTAGGCCAGGATTCTTTGTTCCCTAGGGGTCTCCCACAGCTGCAGGTCACTTTTCCAGGAACTGTGACCCTTCCATTCCGTGCTGCCTTCACTCACATTCCACACCCACGGTGATGGTCCGGGAGTCCGTGCCATGCGCATTGGTGGCCACGCAGCGATAAGTGCCCGCGTCTTCTCGGGACACACGCTGCCGCTCAGGCCAGGGCACACCCTCCCGGTAGCAACGCACCCCTGGGTAGGGGTGACCCCGGGCATTGCAGGCCAACGTGGTAGCCTCTGCCCCCTCCAGCCACGTCTGGTGACTTGGGCATGTGGACTCATCCATCTGCGGTGGTGCTGCAAAACAGCCATGGGGGCATCAGGGAGACGCGGGAACCGGGGGCACCCCTACACCCCACCCACCTGGGCTCCAGCTCACACTCTGCGCTCACGACGATTGTTTTGACCATGGAGCCATGACGATTGGTAGCATTGCAGATGTAGACACCAGGTGCCATATCACTACGGGTGCCAGGGGCTCTGGGATCTGGGGGTGCCAGTGGCAGCAGCACCCCCTCACTGGCTCCTCCAGAGCCAATACATTCCACATTTGGTTCTGGCTTCCCATCGACCTCACAGGAAAACAGTTGTCCAGATCCTTCCACCCATGTCCAATTGCTGGGACAGCTCAGTTCTTCAAAATTGGGGCCATCTGGAGAGTAGGATTGCAGAGGTTCATACAGGGGACAAGAAACCCAGCTGAGGTTGTCCCAACAGACGCTGAGCTGCCCCTACTTACATTCCACTGTGACAACCACATTTTTAGTAGCTGAGCCTTGAGGATTGGTGGCTTCACAGCGGTAGATGCCTGCGTGCTCCCGGGCCACATGCAGCAGCCCCTCAAGGATGACCCCAGCCTCCTCAGAACGCACACAGCTCACGTTTGGTGGCGGGACCCCATGCGCCACACAGCTCAGTGAGGCCTCTGTTCCCTCCAGCCAGGTAATATGCTCTGGACAGCCCACACTGTCCAACACTGGTGCGTCTGTAGTGGGGAGTGTGTTGTTGGTTTGAGGGTTTGGGCACCAGTCTGATGTCCCTAGACTCTCTTTTGTGTTCCTGGGCTGCCACCAGAGCTATGGGCTACACAGGGACTCCAATCAAAGGGGGTGTTGTGCTAGTCTCCCCCAGCACTCTCTCTGGGGGCTCAGTGAGCCTTAGCGGGCATCTTTTTCTGATTACCATAATGTTCGTAGGGGCTTTCCCCAGTTTGGCCTACAAATCGTTAGACTGCCTGGACAGCCCACCTTTGCAAGTCTCCACTGAAATACCACACCTCAGCCTATGGACAGGCTAATTTCACACACACACACCCTTGTCCAAGATCTTTTCCCCAACCCCAATAACCAGTTTCTACTCATTCCAAAATCCTGCCCAAAGGCACATCTATTACTCTAGGCCAGCCATCCCCAAACCCTGAACTGGGTTTAGTTTCTCTAGATGCTCCCTGCACACCCCCACTCACATTCCACCGTCAGTGTCACGTCTTTAACCGCCTCGCCTTGGACATTGGTTGCCCTGCAGCGGTAATTGCCTGCAAGCGCACGGGTGATAGGACCCAGTAGTCCCAACGCCAGCACGGCCCCACCGTCTGGCCGGGCGCAGTGCACCAAGGGCTCTGGGTTTCCTCGGGCCTCGCAGTGCAGCGTCTGCTCTGGGCCCTCGGGCCACGTCCAGCTCTTGGGACAGTCTGAGTCATCCAGCCGAGGGGAATCTGCAGGCAGGGGCATGAGATACAAAGAGTATGTAAGGGGACCGTAAGGCATGGCCTCGCCTCGACGACAAGGTCAGAGACCCATGTAGGTCCTTGGAGGTCATGAAGAGAAAGGCGAGGGATTAATACCAACTCACACAGGACGCGAAGCTCAGCGCTCTGGTTCTTGCTCAGGGTCTCCCCGTCCACCTCGAGGGTGGCGTCGCAGAAAAAGCTGCGCCTGTCGTCGTTTTCAGTGGCCTTCAGCTGTAGCTGGGCGGGCTGCCCCGGGACCACTGCTGGAATTCCCTCCAGTGTGACCAGGGCTTGGGCTCCAGCTGCGCAGGTTACTGTCACCGTCTTCCCCTCGGGGACGCTGGGCTCACTCAAGGTCAGGAGGGGAGGGGGGAAGCCTAGAGGCGGAGCACTGGCTGTAGTCCACCGATCACGCCACTCCCGCCGGTCAAGGACCGCCCCTTAGTTGTGGCGCCCTGCCTCTCAGGATCCGCCTCTGCAGCCCTTTTGGCCTCCAGCTACCTCTCCATTTTGGGACTCTTGGGCCACTCCTGTTCCAGAATTGATGTCCTACCCACCCTTCGCCCCGCATTCGCATTCTTCTGGCTCCACCCCCGAGCTGCGAATGCGCTCATCCCTAACCCCAAGCTCCTCTCCCACTGCTCCTTCTTACTGTAAATGGTCAAGTTCTTCCAGGTCTCGCGGCTTTCGCCCCCGAGGGTCACATTACAGACCAGCTGCGTGGCACCCTCCTGCTCTGTGCTGGCTGTGGCTGTGGCAGTGGCTATGAGTGTGTCCCCCTCTGGGGTGACATCGGGACTCAGCCTTTGGTCCCCCAGCGCGAGGTAGACCCTGGCCTCTGAAGCCGGAAACAGGCCGTCCAGGGCGCAGCTCACGGGCTTTTCAAAACCTACTTCCAAGAGCCGGGGAGCAGCGAGGCGCGGGGTGCTCGGAGGCAAGGCTAGGGGTCAAAGCAACGAGCTTGAACAACTTATGTATTGAGCACTCAATAAGTACTAAGCCCTTTATATGCACTATTTTATGGTATTATAACCCTCAAGGCATAGAGTTAGAAACAACTCGGTAAGTGTTGAAGTAAGGCTTAGAATTCAGATGCATCTGTCTCTAAACTTTTTCTTGCCTCTAAACTTCTTCTTCTTCTTCTTCTTTTTTTTTTTTTTGGCCGGGGCTGGGTTTGAACCTGCCACCTCCGGCATATGGGGCCAGCACCCTACACCTTTGAACCAAAAGCGCTGCCCATCTCTATAAACTTCTTAAAAGCTTGCCCGACTCTACTTGCTTCCCATCTCCATCCCACTCACCAAAGGTTCGGAGCTCTCTGGGGGCCGAGCTGTTTTCAAACAGTCCCAGGCCATGCGGCCGGAGGTCTAGCTCAGCATGGCACGAGAAATTAGCCCTATGGTCCTCCCTCCGAGCCAATACGGTGGCCGTGAACACTGCGCCCCGCGCTCGGGGTGGTTCGCCCGCAAAGCTGCGGCGGATCAGCTCCTGGGTGCCTCGCAGCAGGGTCAGTGTGAGGCTCCCACGGGGCCCGGCTCCGGGGACCCTACAGCTCAGGGTAAAGTTCTCGCCCACCGGCTGCCACGCAGGCAGAGGCAACAGCTCTACGCGATCTGGCCGCTCTGCAAAGGAGGAATCGCAGCTGTCGGGGCTTAGGGGGTACTTGACGTGTCCCAAGGGAGCCTGCGACAAGACAGGAAGTCTTGGGGATTCAGAGGGTGGGGCCTGAAAGGGAGGACTCCCAGGACTCCGCAGGCGGGGACTGGAAAATAAAAGTAGTGGAGTACGCGCGTGGCCACCCCAGAACTCACGGAAAGTGCGAATGAGCCCACGCGCCAGTAGTGTGCGCCGCGCACAGCGGAAGAAGCAGACCGGCTGGGTCTCCGGCTCACGGATGTCCACCAGCTGCCGCGCCAACCAGCGCAAACCCCTCTGCGTCCCGTTTCGGCGCAGAGAGGTCTCTAGGCCACCGCGTTCCGGCCGAGGGCAGTTAGTGCTACAATTCAGCCACAGAGAGCCCCCGCGCTCCACGAGCGCCACACGGGGCTGCAGGTCCGCCCAGAAGGGGTCCTGCGCGACCGCTGCCAGGGAAACGTGGGCTCAGTTTGGGGAGACAATTCCCTGAGATCTTAGCGCTCTTATGTTGAGTCAAGGGTTCCAGGGACGAGCAGAGGCCACAGCCAGGAAAGAACCCAGGAGTCCCATATTCTGGCCCAGGGCTCAGGTTAGAGGGGGGCGATCCCAGAGTCTAAATCTTGAGGTGTCTCTGGCATGTAGCAGCAGAGAGCCCTAGTCTCCAAGGAGCCGATGAAGCTTAGGAAAGTATGAGGGAAGTGGGGAGACGAGAGGAAAGATGGGGTCTTTGATGCACAGAGCAATGCTGAGAGAAGGGGACCCCGGGTGGGGGAGGGGGAACAAACCGGTTCTAAGGGTCCTGGCAGATTGCCGGGAGAGGAGACTGAGGTTGGGCGATGGCAAAGAGAGATGAAACTGGGTGAAAAATAAGAAACCCTAAATTTGGTAAAGAAACATGGAAAGAGGACGAAGGGCTGTGCTCGTGGAAAGAACCGCGGGAACGGCAGAGGGACCTGGTTGCCAGGGCTCCGGCTGGAGCGGGAACAGCGCCTCTGAATCACGGTAGTTGGAGAGATGGAGTCTTTGCGGACCGCGAGTGGAGAAGATGCCAATCCGTGAACCATTCACGGCAGAACGTGAAGAGGTACAAGGGGGAGAGGACATGAGAGCCACAGGGTCTCCAGGGTGCGGGGTTGGGTGCGAAAGAGCACCCAAGATCTCCAAAGGGGTAGGGGTGAGCAAGGAGTCAGGAAGCTGGGTCTCCATGCGTGCTGGGGGGAGGGGAGAGGGGAGAAGACCCGGCTGGTGGTGAGGGCAGAAGCGTGGGAGCGTGGCGAGGGCGGAGCTGGGAGGCGCTTAGGGCCACCACCCAGGTCCGGGAACTCCGCCCCCGCCCTGTTCACCCCAAGCCCGGGCGGGCTCTTACCTGAGCGGTCAAGGAGCCCCAGGCCCAGGGCAGCCAAGAGGCCGAGTAGTGCCCGGCGCAGCCCTGGCGAAGGCTCTGGCATCGCCGCCGTGGGGAAAGCGCAGGAGGCGAGGGGAGCGCGAGCTAGGAGCTGGGCTAGAGGACGGCGCGGCGCGACGCGGCGGGTGGGGTGTGGGGGAGGCAGAGTTGCGCTCGGGGATTGGTTTAACGTTGGTAACTTGGTTTCCAAGGAGGGGGCGGTGGCAGAGGCGGAGGAGGGGGGAGCGGGAGGCGAGCTTGCGCTAAGCTCCCGGCCTTGGAGAAGGCAAGCTGGCTGGAGCGAGCGACCCCCAGGGTTTACGTGGAGGCCAGCCTGTTCGCCCAGAGCCTTCTGGGGGCGACCACGCTTTCCCGCGTCATCCCAGGCAGCGACTCGGAGATGGGGGATGCTGGTTTGCCCTCCTCAACCCCTCTTCCCAGCCCTGCCTCCGATACTATGATAATGAGTTGAACCCCGAGCTCCGCCCCCATCGGTAGATCCGCCCATCAGAGCTCCTTAGGGTAAGGATTGATTGGGGGGCTAGGAGAGGTTTGGGAAGTACAGAATGGAGAAAGGACAGTTCTTTTTTTTTTTTTTTTTTTTTTTTTTTTTTGAGACAGAGCCTCAAGCTGTCCCCCTGGGTAGAGTGCCATGGCATCACAGCTCACAGCAACCTCCAACTCCTGGGCTCAAGCGAGTCTCCTGCCTCCACCTCCCAAGTAGCTGGGACCACAGGCGCCCGCCACAACGCCTGGCTATTTTTTGGTTGCAGCTGTCATTGTTGTTTGGCGGGTCCGGGCTGGGGATTCGAACCCGCCACTTTAGGTGTACGTGGCTGGCGCCTTAGCCGGTTGAGCTATAGGCGCCGAGCCGAGAAAGGACAGTTCTATCAGAGAGCATGGGGATGCGCTTTTTGACCCCTCAGAGCCACACCCCTAATCCTCTCCCGCTCGGCCCCAGCACGCGACAGAGGAAGGTAGGACGAAAGTGCCTGCGAGTCGGTGGCACGGTTGCGTGCGCGCCGCGTTCGCAGGCGTCTAAATCAGAATCCGCTCGGCTCCGGGTCTGTATTTACCCAGCGTGCAGCGGGCACGTGCCCACTCGGCGTGTGTGAGCGCGAATCAGTCTTCTGCGCGGTGGGCGGGGCTCTGGATAGAGCCGGCTCTGCTAAGCATCTAGTATGGGCCCGGATTCTGCTTCCAAGCCAGACCAAAGGATAGATTGTGACGCTTTTAACCCCACATCCGAACCCCAGGTCTTGACACCAGCTGCCTGTTCCCTCCTGGTCGGGTGACTACTAGAACATTGCCAGGATGTGAGTCTGTGGCAGTCCATGTGGACCATCTGAATATCTCTTCCCCACTGTCTCCACATGGACACTTCTTCGACAAGTTCGTGTCCCTCTATGTCCATGTGACCCATACATGTGGTTTCACCCCCAGTGTTTCTGGTGACCTATGGGGGATGAGTTCTCGCTCCACGGTTGAGTTGATCTACCAGAAAACCCAAGGTCTAACCTGGAGGTGGGATTAGAAAGGAAAACTTAACATCCAATCAGAGTTGCGGCGTCTAGTGGCGGAGCCAATCAGAAAAAGCCATACCTAGAACCAGGCCTCCCCTGTCCCGCCCCCTTACCCCCTACCAGCCGATGCTTAGCCAGACTGCACCGCTTCGATATCAGCAGAAGGAGAGGTTTTTACTACACCAGCTGGGAATTCAGAGGGACTGGTAATTGGGGATTACAGGTAGGCCCTGAGTGAGAAAACCTTAGGTGCCCTCAGGAAGACAAAGAACTTGGAGAAAGTGACTGCAGAGGGACCAAAAAAGGAGACTACTTTCTCCCAGAAGGTGCAGTAATGGAGACTTTTGGGCTGCAAAAAAAGGCTGGCTGAGGAAGGCTTTATTGATCCGGAGTGTTCCCCACATTGTTCCAGATTCCTTATTTCTCCTGCCCAGCGGCATCGAACACCTCCTCTACGCCCGAGACCACATCACCAGGCGCTTGCGCAGGTAGGCAGCCGCCACGATGAGAAGGATCCCCACAAGGGCTGCGGAGGAAGTGGAGGCCAACGCTTTGGATGCGGAGCTCCAAGCTGGGAGCAGGAGGAGAATTAGGAATGGAGCACATGGAGGCCTGATGACGCGTGGAGCTCAGGCTCCGTCGTCTATCTTTGCGCCTTCCTGGGGTCATAATCCTGTCACCCCCCTTTCCAAGTCCCTGGGATCACAAAAGTGCCTCACCGAGCGTCAACGTAATGGGTGCTGAGCTGCTGCACACCACGAGGCCGTCAAGATTGAGGCAAGCGAGGCAGGTCACCGGCTGCCCGAAGTCGCGGGGTCCAGCGGGAAATGTGTGGATCAGCGTCACATTGGCTGGATCCAGACGAGTGAAGCGCTCCAGGCTTTCAGAATAGATGGCCCGGAGGCCGCACCTCAGGGTCACCACCAAGAAACCCACAGGGAACACGCGTGTCACGTGACAGCGCAGAGTATACTTGCCATTCTCTAAGACCGGAGGCTCCATAGTCACGCTGTGCGGTGCTCCTAAGGCAAGAGGGAACTGGTGAGTAAGGTCCGCGGGCGCCCCCTAGACCAACTGTCAAGGGGGCCTCCTCCAGACCCTTCCTCCAGACCCTCCAGACCCTTCTCCAGACCCTTCCTGGGTCCAGACCCTTCCTCTTTCCCCAGCGGGGCCCGACACGCGTCCCTCACTGTAGGTGGTTATCCTGGCGGTGGCCCCGCGCGTTTCTCCTGAGCAGGTGACGAAGCAGCGCACATCGGAGCTCCAGGTCCTCACGTCGAGTAGCTGGTAAGATACCCAAGCCGGTCCACTGAAAGTCTTTCCCCGCCGCAGCTGGGTGTAGAGACTGGAATTCTGTGGCAGGGGACAGCTACTGCTGCAGTTGAACCACACTGAGCCCCCCGGCTGCACCGCCACGGACTCCGGGCTTATTCGCACCCAGAATGGCGCTGAGGTCCTGGAGGGTGCAGGAGGGTTGTCCTTGGGGCTTTGTTCCTGCTTAGCCGGGCGCCCTAGTACACTCGCACTTCTCCAGTATGCAGTTGCCAACAAGAGCAACAGCGACAGGGGGAACAGAGATCCCATAGCAGAGTCCAGACAGAGGGGGCCCACTCCAGAGAGCCAGGGCTGGCTCTGGAGATAAGGAGGTCTGGGGCACTGCCTTCTCAACCCTGCCCAAGAGAGACGGGAGGCCCCTAGAGGGCCCCTAAGCCCTGTAAAACATACTCCCTTCCCTTTGTGAGAATGGGATTCCAGACCCCATTGTAAGCCAAATACCATTGTCCTTTTCTGGAGAGGAGCCTTTACTTTTTGCTAGAGTCATAAAAAGCCCCAGATTTGCACCAGAACCTCAGGGTTTGTCCTTGAACCCACATCTTTGTCTTAGGGGAGGAGTGGGAGGATAGGGCTGTGGCACAGCTGCTTAGAAATAATTCTGGCTGGAGATGACACCTCCCATGAATTCACACAAGTCTGAGGCAGATATAAAAGCTTTATTAGTACAAAGGGGGGGGGGGCGTCTTCCAAAGGTGGGAAGGGTCCATCAAGGCTTTGGCCCTTCTCCCTACTGCTTGGAGGGCCCAGATCATTTCAGGAATTGGAACTACAGAGTATTCTGTTCCCTTATGGTCCCACTGAGATGGAAACAGGCAGGATAAGGAGGCACACAGGGATTGGACCTAGTTTCATGGAACTCTATGGTTTAGTTGTCAAGGAATATACACCATGTTTGGGCATAGACATTGAGTGTTACTAGCAGAGATGCAAGTGGTTGGGAAGGTGGCTAACAAAGGTCAGTGCCAGTGTTGGGGCTGGGGGGTGGTAACGACTCACTGGTAGTCCCTGAGCATGTCAGCATTGCTAGTTCCTACAGTGCTTTGTGTCAGAAAGAAAACTCAGGGGAGGCGCCTGTGGCTCAGTGAGTGGGGCGCTGGCCCCATATACCAAGGGTGGTGGGTTCAAACCCAGCCCCGGCCAAACTGCAACAAAAAATAGCCGGGCGTTGTGGTGGGCACCTGTAGTCCTAGCTACTTGGGTGGCTGAGGCAGAGTAGCCTAAGCCCAGGAGTTGGACGTTGCTGTGAGCTGTGACTCCACTGCACTCTACTGAGAGCGAAAAAGTGAGACTCTGTCTCTACAAAAAAAAAAAAAAGAAAGAAAGAAAACTCAGCTGGGCCAATAAAGTGTGAAATTGATATTTTTGTGCCGTGCACAGCCTGTTCAACTGTACCTGAATCCCTGAATGAGATTAGATTAGGAGCTCCATGAAGGCAGGAACATATATACATCTTATTCACCATACTAGCCTATATAAAAGATAATAAATAGCTGGCAAAATCACAAATGAATAAATATGTCATCATCAAGAGTTGAGGACAAGGCCAGGTGCAATGGTTCATGCCTATAATCCCAGCACTTTGGAGGCTGAGATTGGGTGCATTGCCTGAGCCCACAGGTTAGAGCCAGCCTGAGCCAGAGTGAGACCCCTATCTCTAAAAATAGCCAGGCGTTATGGTGGGTGCCTGTAGTCCCAGTACTTGGGAGGCTGAGGCAAGAAGATCACTTGAACTCAAGAGTTTGAGGTTGCTGTGAGCAATGACACCATGGTGACAAAGTGAGACTCTGTCTCAAAAAAAAAAAATAAATAAAAGAGTTGAGGACAGCAGTAGACAGCAGCACCAGAGTTGGCATCTGTCTGTGAGGGCATTTGTGTTTCCATACTGCGCATGTCTGTTTAGGTCCACTTCTTCCTTGGGGCTGTGGGGTCTTGGTATACACTGCAGGCAGTTAAGTTTCAGTATTTCTTGACTATGTGTCCCCATGTTGGGAGTATGTGTCTCTCTCTCATCATTCCCACTCTGGCCAGGTTAGATTCTGATATTCCTCACAATCTTATCTTGACTCTTGCCCCCTCCTCTTGGCTCAGTGCTGTGCCTACAGGTCTGGTGTGAGGCCTGAAGGTCTTAGGTGTGCAGATACTATGACCCCAAATGCTGTCTGTGTCTGAGACTGCTGTCCTGTCCTCTGGCATGGTATGTGTCCACCACTCTGTTTACCATGTGGGGGCCCAAAGAGGCAGTCCTGTCCTGGGATGGGCTCAGGGTGGTGTGGCTTGTGTGTTCAGCTTCATGGAGGCCACCTTCTGGGCCTCCTGTAGCTTGTATTTCTTAATCTTCCGCTGGCGATTGTACAGGTAAGCAGTGATGCCCACAGTACCCAAGACAATTATGGCTGTCACCAAAATGATGACCACTGAAGTCTGGTGGTCTGAGTCTGTGGGGAAGACACAAGGGGTGTTAAGGACTGAGCCAGGCTCACTGCCCCTGCTCCACCCAGCCCTACACCCTAGCAAACTCACAGAGCACCTTGATGAACACCTCACGAGTAATCTCTCCACGCGTGCTCACAGCCCGACAGATGTAGGTGCCCATAAGATTACGTGTGATATAACTTAGGTTTCCAATGGGCAGCAAAATTCCATCCCCTTTACGGGAACAGTTCAGCTGAGGGGATGGATTCCCCTGTGCCTGGCATCTCAGAGTCTGCTGGGAACCTTCTTCCCATGTCCAGTTTCCCGGGCAGTCCGTCTTGTCCAGTCGGGGACCATCTGAAGAAAAGTAACAAGAGAGATTGAGTTCAGGAATCAGGACACCCCTCTCCATCTAGGACTGAAGGACTTAGGAATAAGGGAAGGGGCTTCCTAGAAATAGGGCTTGAAGGACAAAAGCTTATGGGACTTCAGAGATTGGGCCTGAGAGAACAGGAGGCATTGTCCAACAGCCCCACTCACACAAAACATGGAGCTCCTGGGTCTGGGTCTTGTTTAGCATCTGTCCATCCACTTTCATGGTAGCATGGCAGGAGAAGATGCGCCTGTTGTCCTCAGCGCTGGCATTAAGCAAGAATTGGGCCCACCAGCCTAGTGGCCCAGCTGGAGCCCCACTAAGCATCACCACAGCTCCAGGGTGGGCCTTGCAATGCACCAACACTTCAGTCCCTTCTGAAACCTCTGCTTTGCTCAGAGTTAGGTTGGGCTCAGGGAAGCCTGGGGGCAGGAGATACAGTGAGCTCTGCCCTTACCCCACCCCCAAACTGGCCCTGCCCCATGAAGTCCCCCCACCTGCCCCACCCTTCTTACTGTAGATGGTCACCCTCTGGCTAATCTGCCGGCTCTGGTTCCCCAGTATCACAGCACATGTCAGCTGCTGGGAGCCTTTCTCTTCTGCGTTTGCTTTGACAAATGCCTTGGCCAACAAGGACTCGTTCTTGTATGTGATTTTGGGGTTCAGCCTCTGGTCCCCCAGTGCCAGGTGAATCTGGGCCTCTAAGACTGGGAACAACCCATCCAGAGAGCACTCCACGGTCCCCTCAGTGCCTGTCTCCAGGAGCCCAGGGGTGACAAGTTTCGGAAGAGTTGATGGCAGGACTAGGAAAAGAGGGTAGACATGAGCAGATGGGGATGCACATCCTGCAGCCCTTTCTAGGGCATTTTCTTTTTCTTTCTTTCTTTCTTTCTTTTTTTTTTTTTTTGCAGTTTTTGGCCAGGATTAGGTTTAAACCCGCCACCTCTGGCATATGGGGCCAGCGCCCTACTCCTTTGAGCCATAGGCGCCACCCTCCTGGGGCATTTTCACTCCCCACCTGGAACATCCTCTTTCTGGAAGACTCAGCAGCCTGAGTCGCCCTATCCTAAGACAGAAGCACCTCTTAGCTGGTATCATAGCCTTCTTGAATATTCTGCAGTCATGGGCAGGGCACCCACCCCATTGCAGAGCACCCCACCCTCTCCCTGCTGGCTCCCCAATGCCTCACCGAAGGTTTGGAGCTGATAGGGGGCTGAGGTGTTCTTGAAAAGTCCCAGCCCTTGGGTTCGCAGATCCAGTTCTGAGCGGCACGAGAAATTGACTCTGTGGTCACTTCTGCCCACCAGCAATGTGGCCGTGACCTTGGTGGGCTCCCCATCCATTTGCTGGCTGCTCAGCACCTCATCCCCACGGAGTAGCACTGCGGAGAGGTGGTTCCGGGGTGCCCCGCCAAACACCTGGCAGCTCAGGGTGAGCTTCTCACCCACAGGTTGCCAGGAGGGTAGTGGTGCCAGTTCTACCTTGTCTGGGTACCCTGCAAGGAAAGAGAGGGAGGAGCGTTCCTGTGAGCTGGACTCTACTGCAGGCCTGCAGACAGGTCACACCTGACCAGTCCGGGAGCTCCACCACTTCACTTTCTCCCCAAAACACACCCTTCCACCTAAGTGGACAGAAATGTCAAGAGCTTTGGGGAGACTAGTAAGAAAGCTCCAGATGTTTGTGAAGGGTACAAAAAAAATCATTATTCATGGCAGCAGTTTCTTTCTTTCTTCCTTCCCTTCCCTCTTTTTTTGTGTTTTTGTTTGTTTTTAGAGACAGGGTCTCACTCTGCCCTGTGGCCCAGGCTGGGGGGCAGTGACCCAATCAAAGCTCACTGCAGCTTCAAATCATCCTCCCAACCTTAGCTTCCCAAAGTGCTGGGATTACAGGCCAGAGCCACTTTGCCTGGCCCTACAGCAATATTTTTGAGTGAAAAGTGGAAAAGAACTTCAAATAAGTCTAGTCAAGTAAATCCAGTAAATGTCAGCAGTCCAGGCCACTAGACATTGTTTAAAAAAAAACAAACCCCCTGGCTCAGCGCCTATAGCTCAGCAGCTGAGGTGCCAGCCACATACACCACAGCTGGTAGGTTTAAACCCAGCCCGGGCCTGCCAAACAACAATGACAACTACAACCAAAAAAAAAAAACAACCCCCAAAATAGCTGGGCACTGTGGCAGGCACATGTAGTCCCAGCTACTTGGGAGGCTGAGGCAAGAGAATCATTTAAGCCCAAGAGTTTGAGGTTGCTGTGAGCTGTGATGCCACAGCACTCTACTGAGGGCAACATAGTGAGACTCTGTCACAAAAAAAAAAAAAAAGAAATACCTTCGCAGCCTTATTTTTCTCCATTGTATGCTTCACCTTCTAAGCTATAAAATAATCTATAATGTTAGCTTGTTTCTCCTCTATTTCCCCCCATAGAATGTCAGCCTCAGGGGATTGTTATCTGCTTTGTTCTCTTGTGCCTGGTACACAGTAGGTGCTCAATATTTGAAGAAAGAATGGGGTAGAGTCCTCCACACTGAAGTGAGGACTTGCAGGAGCCTGATTTTAAGGAAAGGAGTGACTAAATGTGTTGAGTTAAAAATGTAAAAACTCACATATGTTCAAAATGAAACTGGATATCCACTGAACACACACCATCGGCTTGGTTTTCATTGCCAGGCAGTCCCCATTCTGCACAAGGTCACGGATTGCCAGTGAAAGTTTATAGCAGGGCAGTACCTGTGGCTCAGTGGGTAGGGCACTGGCCCCCTCTACCGAGGGTGGCAGGATCAAACACGGCCTCAGCCAAACTGCAACAAAAAATAGCTGTGGCAGGAGTCTGTAGTCCCAGCTACTCAGGAGGCTACGGTAAGAGAATCGCCTAAGCCCAGGAGTTGGATGTTGCTGTGAGCTGTACGATGCCACGGCAATCTACCAAGGGCGATAAAGTGAGACTGTCTCTTAAA